ATATGGAGGGGCAGGTATAAGGGCCCCAGTGCAGTGTCTGACTCAAGGTTGGGGTGTCCCCTTCTCCGCTCAGGCGGGTGCTAGACACAGGCATGCTTCCTAGGGCAGGGGGTGGAGATGGGCATGAGGCCTTTCCCCTCCAGGAAGCACTGATCCAACCACAAGGGGGAGCCGGGTGGGAGGCCTTGGCTGTCGCTCAAGGTGGGTGTGGGGATCTGGGCTGGGTGTGGGGCGTATCTGGCTCTCCCCCACCTGCCTATCCCCTGCCAGCACCTGGTGACGCTCTCCCTGGGGGAGACTGAGGACCTGCGCACAGTGGAGGACGCTGTGCGGAAGCTGGGGGAGATGGACACCCAGGGCCACCTCTGGGCCCAGGAGATGCTTCTGCAGGTCACCAGCTCCACCATCAAGCTCTCTGATGTTGACTCCAAGGTGGGGGCTGGGGGGTGATGGGGAGAGGTGGAGGGCAGAGGGGGCAGGTCCTGAGGGGGCTGGATCTAGGGCACAGTCTGGGGATGCCTGGGGCGCAGGGCCTGGGGAGAGTGGTTCTGGAGGCAGGTGCCAGGGCCTGGGGTGCCCAGGCGAGGGTTTAAAGGGGTGGTTCTGGGGGTGCTGGGTAAAAAGGCATCTCTGGGACAAGGGACCTGACTCTGGGATGCCTTGGGGACACCAGGTTTGGGAGTGCTGTTTTCAGGGGGGTCATTCTAGGGGCACTGGGTCAAAGGGCTGTTCTGGGCAAGCCCCCTCAGTCTCTGGGTGCCCTGGCGGTGGTTATGGGGGGCCCCCTCGCCCATGCATTACTGTCCCCCCCTGCAGGATGAGATGGAGAACTATGGCCTGGCGACGGTGCTGTGCTGCGAGACGGTGCTGGTTCCACGCCGGCCCCGCTCCTTGCTGTTGCTTGTCTTCCAGGAGCCCCATCAGCCCAAGCCCCACATCCACTTCTTCCAGTGCGACCAGATTGGGGTGAGGAGCACCACAGGGGAGGGGTGGCTCACCCAGATACCTGGGTTCCTACTCCCCTGTGGGGTGCCATCTTGTTAACCAGCTTTTGGAGCTGTTGGCTCCACCCATTAGATGACATCACTGGTGTACCCCCTCCTTTTGCTGTGCTGGAATTTCCCCAGACCCCTGGGTTCACCCCCTGCATTCTGGAGTCCCCCTTTAAATGCCTTTGAGCCATCTACAGCCCCACCCCCTTTTTCCCATCATGCTCCAGGATATCAGCACCATCTGTGCAAAGCCAAATGAGATAGGAAAGACCCAGATCCTCATGGGCCAGTCAGGATATGGTGCCCATTGCAGGAAGTCTCTCCTTCCCAAGACTGGATTAGCCAGGCAGCTTCCACAGCTTTGGTTTTCCATTGGAAGAAGTCATCCACACCCCATCCCCGTGTAGATGGGACATCTATGCGACCTCCACCAATGGGTTTCCAGCATCACGTGTTCCTGGTCCAGAACATCCTAACTTCCAATGCCTGAGACTTCCATCTCATCATCTTCCAGAGCCTTGATTTCCATTGTAGGAAGTCTCACCTTCAGATGGGAGGGACTTTTTACTCCATGAGCCAATCAGCTTCCAGAGTCCAGAGCAGGATCCCAAGAAGTCCCACTTCTTTTGGGATGTTGGCCATCCCACCTAGTGGTTGTTCATCCCTAGAGGAAAATGCTGCCATGTTTCCTCCAGCTCCATCCCAAGCAGGCCTGTTGCCCCATGGCATGCTGGGTAACAGATGGCCACGGGCTGGAGGGTCTGATCCAGTCAACAGTGGCCTGTCCACAGGAGTGGCTGCTGATACACGAACAACACGTAACCCCAGTGGACCATCTCCCTTCCACCCCACTCCTCCAAATCAGCCCCATGCCCTACATAGCCTGGTCTCTCTACCCACCTCAGGCAGAGTTCCTTCGAGAAGACATCAACAGTGCCCTGATGGACTTCAAATCAGGGGGCAACACTCAGAGGAAAGAGGTGCTCAGGTGGGACCCTGGCGTCTGAGAGACCCTGGCTGCGGAGAATGACTGTGGGGCAGGCTCTGAGGGTAGAAGGGGAGCCCTGTGTTCCTTTTGTGGGGTGGGAGGCAGAGGGTTCCTGAAGGGTGGGAGAGGAGAGCTGGGGGATCTTTCTTGGGGGATGGGGTGTCTCCAGGGCATAGGGAACTGGGGATCTTCAGGGAAGGGTATAGGGGAACAGAGGGGATGTGGGGTGGGGAGGAAGAGTTGGGGGGGCCCTTGAGGGAGGAGGCGCCTTCAGGCACAAGGCCATGAAGGCGGGGTCTAGTAGGCACTGGGTTGTCTCCTGTGGTCACCTCCATGCCTCGTTCCCATTGCAGAACCAACCAGGAGGAGATGAGGCAGCAGCAGGCGGCTCGCAGCCCCCACCCACCCGGCCCCAGGAAGGTGATGATTGCCCCCTCAGCAGCCCTGTCCCTGCAGGAGAGTCTGAGAGGAGCAGGTGAGGGGAAAGAACCCTGGTGTTCTAGCTCTTAGCTCCCCTTTCCTTAACTCCCAGACCCTCCTCCTCTCCCAGAACAAGGAGAGAACCCAGGTGTCCTGACTCCCAGCCTTCCCCGCTCTACCTCACCAGACCCCACTGCTCTCCCAGAGCAGGGGCTAGACCCCAGGTGTTCGGCCTTCCAGACCCACCCTGAGCTGGGATGGAACTGAAGGGGAGAACCCTCTCCCCAACTCAAAGCCACTAACCCCAGTCCCCTTCCAGAACCAGTATAGAACCCAAGTGTCCTGGCTGCTGACCTCCCCACCAAATCCCTATCCCACCAGACCCCTCTCAATGCTAGGAGAGAACCCAGGCATCCTGGCTTGCAGCCCCCAATTTATAAGCCACTAACCCCAGTCCCCTTCCAGAGCCAATATAGAACCCAAGCATCCCCCCATCCCTGCTCTATCCCACCAGAGAGAGAACCCAGGCATCCTGGCCCACTCCTTCCCCGCAGCTGTAACTCAGCAGACCCCAACCCTCTCCCAGCCACCCCACTGGGAGAGAACCCAGGTGTCCTGACCTCCTGTGCTTTCTACCACCAGCTAACTCCTCTGAGCCCTCCCATCTGACCTTCCTGCGGGCTGAGCAGGACATGGTGAGTTCTGATGTGCCTGGGTGGGTGGGGGCACACAACACGTGGCACATGAGGGGCCCTGTGCACACCTGAGGGGCTTTGCATGCTGGTTTGTGCTGGCAGCTGCCCCTGAGTGAGCCATGGGTTCACATCCTCCTCACTCCTGTAGGAGCTGTTGAACCGGGTCTTTGATGACATCGAGTCTTTCATGGCCAAGCTGCAGAAATCGGCTGAGGCCTTTCGGATCCTGAATCAACGCCGGCGCTCACCCCGGGGGCAGCACCGCCAGCAGCCGGGGGGTGAACACAACCTGCCTTTCTCCCCATCCTCAGCCCCTCCCCACCTGTTCTGCCCCACATGGGAAGCCCCCTGTGCAAAGGGGGCACCACTGAGAATGCTCCCCACTTCCCTGTGGGTACTTCATGACCTGCACTGCAGACTCCCCTAGACTGGCGGGGTGCTGCTGATTTGGGGAGGGGGATGACGGGGGACACTGTTCTCCCAGCTGCAGTCTTCCTGCCCTGTGGATGCCCTAAGTCCCCCTTTCCTGCTCTGTGAACACTACCTCCATCCCCCAACTGACCCATGGGCTCCCCCTTCACTCCTCAACCTACTAGGGACCCCACCTCTGGGATGCCCCCATGACTGCCCCCACCAGCCCTGACTGCATCCCATCCCCACAATGGAGTGTTAACCCTTTCCTTCCCTGTAGAGGGGCTACTGACCCTCCGGGCACGCCCCCCCTCCCTGGAGGAGTTTGCGGATGTCCTGGCCAAGATGAAGTATTCCTTCAGCCTGCTGGTGAGTGTGGGATCACACCAGTAGGGGATTACACCAATGGGAACCCCTCCCCCAAAGCTTTAAGCCTCTCCCAGCATCAGCTAGAACCCAGGCGTCCTGGCTTGCCATCTTCCCCCATGCCCCACTATAGGCCACTGGACCCTGCTTGCCTCCCAGATCTGGGACTAGGACCCAGGTATCTTGGTTTGCTGTTCCCCTGCCTTAACACACTGGATCCCACTCCCCTCTGAGAGCTCAAGAGAGAACACAGGTGTCCTTCCCTCTTCCCCTCCCCTCCCCCAGCTGGAACTGGAGAGGTTTATTGATACTGAGTTGGGGTCCCCTCCCCCCCTACAGGCAAGACTGCATTCAGACATCATGAACCCCAACTCAGAGGAGCTTGTCCACTTCCTCTTTGGGCCCCTGAGGACGGTGAGTTGGGGGCACAAAGACAAGTCCCTGCATTAGCCCAGGCCAGGGGCTGTGAAGGGTAATGGTGGGGGTGGTGATACCAGCATGGGGGTAGTCTATAGGGATAGGAGGAGGGGGCTATAGAGACAGGGGGAGCCATTTTAGAGGGAAGTTGGGAGCCAGTTGCAGAGGGGAGTGGGTGGGGGGCTGCCAGAGTGGAGCTGTGGGGTGTGTATCTCTGTGGGAGGCACAGAGGGGGGTTGTGGAGGGCACTGAAACTCCAGGGTCTCTCACCATTCATTGTGCAGGGGTTGAGGGGGCTCTTGGGGACAGGGGGGAGCTGAGTGTCTCTCACTGCCCATTCTTGGAGGGCTGCTCTGGGCACTGGGGAGGGACCTTGCACCCCCATGGGGAGAGGGGTTTGGGGCAGGGCTCTGCCCCTGGCTGGGTTGTGGGGGGGGGGGGGGGGGGGGGGGTACCTCTGTGGTTTTGAGATCTGGGTCTTTGTCCTTGAGTTGAATGGGTCTGGGACCTGGCCCATATGACTGACAGCTCTTGGGGTTTCTCCCTGTCCCCATCCCAGGTGGTGGCGGCCTCAGGGGGGCCGCTCTTCGCCAGCGAGATCTGCTCCCCCATGCTAACCCTGGAGGCCGTGACCCTGCTGCGTGGCTGCCTGAGACCTGAGGAACTCGAGCTGTGGCATTTGCTGGGGGAGAACTGGACTCAGCCCCGGTACCTACTTACCTGGTGGGGAGGTGTCATGCAGGAAGGTTGTGGGGGCAGTGCTAGGTCCAGCTCCCTGAACTAAGTCCCAGCTGTGGCCCTCAGTTTGCTTGTCCTCTGGGGTTTCCCCTGATGCGCCTGTCCCCAGTTTTGTGAGTTCTCCTTGAGTTTTGCCCATGGTTCTGTGCTTTCACCCACAGCCCCTCGGTTTCACCCCAATTTTCCCTTGGATCCCTTGTTTTGGCCCATGATCCTTTGCCCTCAGAGGCAAGCCTGGCAGGGCTTATGCCTCGGGTAGCTGTGGGCCAGGCCAGGGGGGTTCAGCCTTTCACCTTCCCTCACCCCCAGCAGCTACTATGCTGCGTAAAGCTATAAAACCCTTACTTCAATGGCTGCAAGGCCTGGAGGCTGGACAAAGACTGACACCTAGAGGAGTCAGAGCCTTGAGCCCGCTGGCCCCATTACAGCACCCCCATCCTTTATCAGCACCAGGGGCTTACACCCTCCTCACTCACCCATGGTTATTCTCCTGTTTGACTCCCTCTCCGGACTTCACTCTCCAAGCTTTGAACCTCCAGGATCCTTCCCTGTTCCTCACAGTCCCCTCACTGTCTCCACCAGGAGTCCTTGCTTCTACCCAGGGGGTTGCCTCAGTTTCGCCCCCCGATTCTTTGTGACCTCGCCCGTGATTCTAGGCCTGATCCCTCCATGTTCCCTGTGATTTTGACCCAGAATTCTTTGCTTTTCCCCCCAGGGTCTCTGGATTTCACCCGTGAACATGCCCGTAATCCCACGGTTGATGCCTCAGTGTTCCCCAGGATTTCCATTCACACCCCCTTCCTGTTTTTCCCTACTTGGCTTTGCCCACAAGCCTCCCCACAGCCTCTCAGGATCTCTGCGGTCTCTCCCATGGTCCCATGGCCTGTGGTTTATTCCAGGGCCCCTTGCTCCCTCCCCACCCTGCCAGGATCCCACCTGGTCTCCTTGCATTGGCCTGTGATATCCCACGACGTCCCAATCTGTATAACTGCTCCCCCACCCTCACCGCAGCTCCATTTCTGCCCCTCCCCAGGGTGGACTTCCCACAGGGCCATGCTGCCACCTACACCCCGACCTTCTGGAGTGGTTGGGAGCTGCCAAGCCGAGACCCCTCTGGACAGCCCTGGGAGGACCCTGTGGAGACACAGCACCGGCATGAGAAGCGCCGGGCACAGGTGAGGGAGGCCTGGGGAGCAACATCATGGCAGGGAGAGGCAGCCAGCAGCCCTCAGCACAGCGTGGGGAGGGCTGGGGGTCTGCAGAGAGGGAGAGAAGGGAGTGTGTGTCCCCCACGGTAGCAGAGGGGGCTGTTGTGGGGGGGTGTGAATGTGGTGCCCAGGCCATGGGTCTTATCAGTTAGAGGTGGCATTGGGCAGGGGAGGGCAGGTGTGTGTCTGGGGTGGCTTGCTGGGCACTGTGGAGAAGAGTGGGGGCAGACAGGCTCAAGGCAGGGGTGTCAGAAAGGGGAGGTGGTAGTGGGGGTCCCTAGGTGTGAGGGGACCCCTCTGGGGGCGAGGAGGTCACAGTTGGAGATGCACTTCCCCCCACCCCACACTCACTTCTCCCCCCATCTCCCCTCTGCAGCAGTCGGCACCGTCCATCGAGGCCAATGGGTACGTACCACCCACAGCAGGCCCCTCCTTGCCCCCTCATCAGACACACCCTGGTAGGGGGTAGGCTGCAGGCACAGGGGGAGGGGCTCACAGAGGATGCTAGGGAGGGGCTGGCAGGGGAGGGGGAATGGGGGAAGGCTCTGGGTTTGGAGCCCAGGAGCCCTAAAGATGCCTTTTCTGTGTGTGTGCGTGTATTTCCCTTTGTTCTGGGGGGCAGGTGGGTTCGCTGG